ATGCAGCAAATAAATGATATATACTAAACAAAGCTGTCAATTCTATTGCTAATTATAATTTATAAATCATGTTACGGTTTCGGTAAATCAATAAACTGAAACCAAGCAATCGAAACATGTGCCTATCCAATCAATTATAATCAATATTTTAAGTATTTTTCCAACAGATTAGCATATATACTCTATATAGCAGATCAACGAAGCCATATTGTTAATTTAATGGTTGATTCATATACTAACAATAAAATAATGAACAAATCAACTAAATCATAAGTTAATTTGATCATGCTCTACTAAATTACTAAACAAAATCGATAGTAAAATAATACTACGCAACTTATATGTTATATATGATTAACATAGCATGAGATTGAATTATGGTACGAGATACTTATTTCAATGGAAAGAACATATCGGAGATTGGTTAAGACGTCGAAAACAAAAACGACATAGCTCGGTGACGGAGTTGAGACGGAGCTAGGAGAGCGTCGTAGACATAAGTCTCGATATTATAAATCTACAAAATAATCAACAATAAACCGTAAACACCAAAGAGATCAAATCATGGTGTATTTCACGTTCTCCATCTATTAAAATAATTCATGCATAAACAATTACTGTATAAAGCAATATTCACGTTGTTTGTTGTTACGTGTAAATATGAATTCATGTAACTAAGATAATATTAAGAGAAAATCAATAACCAGTAAATAATAAACATGAGCGTGGAAACATTGAGATTCTAAGTGATAAACCATGGGCAAAATTTGGTGATTAGTGAACATATACGAATCAACAAACAGATCGAACAAATCAAACGATATACTAACCCATCTAGGTAAAGAACCATAGTCGACAGTTAAAGTAATAAGACAAATCTAATGACTTATCAAACCAAAACTCAAAACACATGGTTGTTTAAACAGAATAATAAAGCATGAGTCCACCAAATCAAAACATTAGGTCTGGCAATTAAGCATGTGTCGATTTCTTATAAAGCATCAGCCAAACAGTAATCAACAACCAACCATAATTGCAAATATGAATTCACGTGTCTTATAATTCCATGATATTCAAGATAAGAGATAAACTTATCTCGGTCGAAAGCGAAGACGGAGAGATCGGTGATGCCGAGACGTTTGAAAACGGAGGATGCGTCGTTTGTTTAGGTGATTAGAGACGCCTAGGGTTTCGTGCTTACACGGCTAGGGTTTCGTCAGTTAGCTACAACAATCGTGTAACG